TAGCTGACAAAATCAGAAATGCGTCTCTTTGTAAGCAACATTATCCTGAATAAAGTCGATTATTCGAAATAAATTATCAAAATGTTTCAGTTTCGATGATTTATTGGTCGGTGCTCCATTCGAGTACGTCGAAGATGATGAGGGTTCTTTCGGTGGTGCCGTTTACATCTATTTCTCATCGGGCGAAAAAAGGAAACGTCATGAGAATTCGAAAGTTTTCTTGAAACCGATCAAAATTCGTGGTCCTGGCGTATATTCGCAATTCGGTCTTTCGATTGCACATCTCGGTAATGTTGACGGCGATAGTCATAAATATAACGGTACGAATTCGCATTCTTTGAAGAAATGCATTTCAGATTGACATTTGCTTTTTACGTTTCATTGATCCTTTTGTGATGATCGCATCTTCATACTTCAGAGGTCATCATAACGTTCAACACAATTAAAAAAATGAAGCGAACCACTCCAAAGCATTGCTTCATTGATTCTCATGGCCTTTCACATTTGCACTTGATTTTGTCCTATGCATCAATCGTCGTAAGCCTCTTGTTTTTGTGATAGATCACGTGCTCCTCCGTGCAACTCAAAACGAATTATTCTTCAGCGGAACATGAAAGCGATCAATTCACACATTCTTAAGATGTCATTATCATCCATTAAGCACATCAAAAAGCCACATTAATGGTTGTATTTTAATGTGAAAGGGAACGACGATTTGTTATTGAAAATGAATGGCAGTGAAAATGAGAATGCATCGAAGTGAAATTAACACATTTATGTGTTGTCAGTCAACGAATTTACCCACCGCGAAGTGCGATAAACAATCGAATTCGAATGTTATTTCACATCATCTCATTAGCTCACATAAAAACTCGTTCAGTTATCCGATGAGATTTTGTTGATTTTCTTTATTGCCCTTATAAAGTTGTCAATTGTGAAAGGGACGATTCTGAGACTGACAATCCTTCAGGTACAACTCGAACCATTATTATGAACGGTCTCATAGTGAATTCGTATATTTTACAGATTTTGCGGTGGGTGCACCGTATTCGAACGATGGTAAAGGAGAAGTTTACATTTATCACGGCGCTAAATCTCCAGATGTGATCAAAACTGAACCAGTTCAAGTGCGCACGTTTCTCCTTTCATTAAATTTTGATACAAATGGCGGTTTTAAATTCGCATGCTGCTCATGCATTATGATAAAATCGCGTAGTTAGGTGATCAGAAGACCCACTGAAAATTCCGAAATTTCCGCTTCCTGTATTGCTGATTGTGGACAAACGTTAAAGTCGTGTTCATATTTTCGATCGATTGAAACAAAAAAATTTCTGACATAATTTCCGTTATCCCAAATTTCTGATATTCATCAATGTATACGCATT